TCATCGATGTTTCTAACTATCTATCCCTCTCCCTTCCTCTCTGTAAAACACCAATAAAATATATTTAATAAATAAATAAATAAATAAATAAATAAATAAATATTTCGTTAAGCCCTAACCCGTTTGGCTCAGTGGATAGAGCGTCGGCCTGCAGACTGAAGGGTCCCAGGTTCGATTCCGGTCAAGGGCATGTACCTGGGTTGCGGGCACATCCCCAGTGGGGGGTGTGCAGGAGGCAGCTGGTCGATGTTTCTCACTCATCGATGTTTCTAACTCTCTATCCCTCTCCCTTCCTCTCTGTAAAAAATCAATGAAGTATATTTTAAAAAATATGTCATTAAGTGGACAAACTGATAAGAAGTGGCCGTGGTGCCCAGCGCTGCCCCCAAGCCTTGCCTGGAGCCGCCCTCACCCTCAGCCCTGCCCACAGGGCCCCTCCTCCTCGGTCAAAGGAGGCGCCAGCATCTCAGGCCCAGCCCTGGGTGCACCCCGTTACGGCTTCCCGGAAGCTAGTCACCCCCTGAGGGTCGTGTAGTGAGAAACATGGCTCTGCAGACGGGGAGGGAGGGAGGGAGGGAGATTCTTTGTACGCGATTTACAAAATGTGATTGTTAGATGTGCAAAGCTATGAAGAATGGCTATTCTCTTCAGGGAGAGTGGAAGGGAGAGGGACAGACAGAGAGAAACATCGACGTGAGAGAGAACATCGATTGGGTGCCTCCTGCAGGGGCCTGACCAGGGCCCGGGCCAGGGAGGGGCCTGCAGGAGCCCGTGCCCTTGATGGAGTTGACCCCGGGACCCTCTCCACTGAGCCGCACTGGCCAGGGCTGGAGCCCTGCCTCTTACCACATAAACGCACAGCTGCGTGCGTGACGGCTAAAGTGGGCGGGAGGCCTGGCCGGACGGGCTGGGGAACGGGTGCGGGAGCCGGGCCCGAGGCGGCCACAGCCGGGTCCTCACCTTCGTGGCCGGGAGCAGCGCCTTCCACCGGTGGCCTGGCAGGTCCCACTGCTGCCGGGCCATGTCCTCCTCCTCCTGGGCCGTGAGGATGCAGCCGTCCAGGCGGCAGCTGGCGGGAGCGCTGCCTGTGGGGACAGGAGAGGGGCTTTCCCACTCGGCACTGGCCCAGGGGCTGAGCATCGGCCCTGCACCCGGAGGTCGCGGTGCGGTTCCCGCCGGGGCTGCGGGCTCGGTCCCCAGTGGGGGGCGGGCAGGAGGCAGCTGATGGATGTTTCTCTCCCATCACGGATGTTTCTATCTCTCTCTCCCTCTCCCTTCCTCTGTCTCCAAAATCGATTTGAAAAACATATTTAAACACAAAACAGAAACATTCTCAGAGAGACAAAGCCCAGAGGGACGGGACCAGGAGGGAGGGGGGAGGGGGGAGGGGAACATCGCCAACAACATTGTGATAAGTTTACACGAGACGCTGGTGGGGCCGTCACACGGCAAAGCCATGAAGTGTCAAATCTGCACCGTCCGCCCTGAGCTAAGTAACCAGGAGAAGACGGCGCCAACTGCTCTTAAATAAACACATTTTCTTAAAGAGCTTCTGTCCGGAGGCCCCAGAACACCCCTCCGTCCCCCAGAACGCGGTCCCGTCGGACTTCCCGGCTGACCGGCCTCCTCTCTGCCGTGGACGGCGATGCTCCTTCGGCTGCGCCGCCGTGACGCGCTGTTAATACGTGAGCCGGCCCTTTAAGGCCAGGCAGCCGCAGTGGACATGAACCGCCACCATGTACTCAGACGACGAGACGATGGCGAGACACGGCGCTGATCCAACTGGCACCTGACAGCCCTGGCGGGGGAGGCGCCATCCCGTGCACCGCAGGGTCTCGGGTTCGATTCCCGTCAGGGCACATACCCCGCTTGTGGGTTTGATTCCCAGTCGGGGTGCATACGGGAGGCAACTGACCTGTGTCTCTCTCTCTCTCTCCCTCTCTCCCTCTCTCTCTAAAATCAATAAAAACATGTCCTCGGGTGAGGATTAAAAACATGTATTTACCAACAAATAACAGAGGCTGAGTAACCTCTTCTGAACTTTCTTAAATAATGACACGTGAATATATAGAACATCAGGGGTGCTGGTCCAAATATTTTTTTTTACTATGGAAGTGAACAAATTTTAAAATCTGTAGCTCCTTTGTCCTAACAGTCAGCCTCGAGAAGAAATGGTCACCCCTCCCCCCTTATCTGCCAGGACGCCCCCCTATCAGAGGGCACCTCCATCCCGGGCCTCCATCCTGAGCCTCCATCCCGGGCCTCCATCCCGGGGCCTCCAGTCTCAGGCCGACGCTCTATCCACTGAGCCACACTGGCTAGGGCCCTGGGTCAGGCCGATTAACCGCATTTCCTCGTGACTTTACATTTACCTTCAAAATGCGTCGTGTCGATTTCCACTTGGGTCACCACTCCAGGGTGTGAGAGGCGGAAAACAGCCCACTCGCCCCCGAGGACGAGGAGGGCGCCGGTCTCGTCGCTCTGGAATCCAAGGGGACACGCGTGAGCCCGCGGGTGCCACGCAGAGCCCGCCCCGAGGCCGGCGGGAACCGTGTGGGCGGGAACCGTGTTACTGCCTCACTTCTCACTGTGAAATGGGCTCTAGGACCCGGGTTGTCAGCCGCCTCTGCGTCTGCTGCCTCCTGGCTATTTCTCAAATGCCTCACGCGGCCGAGTTCACTGGGAGCCGTAATGTCTATACATTCCCAGCATGCTCTTCTTCCCTTTTTTATTTTGGCTAATCCTCCCCTAAGGATATTTTTTCCATTGATTTTTAGAGAGAGTGTGAGGGAGGGGAGAGAGAGAGAAACATCCGTGTGGGACACACGTCGACTGGTTGCCTCCCGCATGCGCCCCCACCAAGTGCCCCGGCCAATGTGCCCTGGAGCGGAATCGAACCCGAGACCCTTCAGCCACGGGCCGAGGTAGGCGGTTTCCTCGCTGTGAAGCTGCGAGCGGCCGGGGCCCTCACCTGCAGCACGGGCGGCCTGTCGGGCCTCCTCGCGGTCACCCAGCCGTCGGCCGCGGACGCGGGCTGCCCGACGCCTGCGGGAAAGAGCGCAGTGAGGGCGGCCTGATCTTAACGGCAAGGACCGCCCACGGGGAGGGAGCCGGCCCGGCCCTGCTGCCCGCCTCTCCCCTTCAGCTCGTGTTCCAGCCAAGTCCCGAGCGACCCGGGTGAGGGGTTATCCGTTTCCTTTCAGACCCGCTGCTTAAGCCGGAACCACGCTACTGACCTCCCATCGTAAGGGCACCAGGCCCCACAGACGGATGCTTGGCCGCATCCACGGCAGGGGGCCCCTCACACCACACTGGGGGGCTCCCCTGGTGCCCAGACACCCAGATAAACGCCAGCCCTGGGGTGTCTCCTCACCTATCATCTTGTTGGGGTGCCCGAAATGGGCGTTACTGAACCCCACGCAGGCGCCCCCACTGGCCATGGCCGCCAGGTCCACCGGCTCTTTGGGGTCGGCGGATGCCCAGTCCTTGTGTCCCACGCCGTATACCCGGAGGCGTGCGACCCCACCGTCTGGAAGGGAAGGGGCGCCCGTCAGCTCGTCGTTGGAACAGCAGCCGTTCGAGGCTCAGAAACCACAAAAGCCCTCACACCCCCAGCCTCGCTCCTGCGCTGCCAGGGCCGGAGCCCCCGCCCCCTCTCCAAGGCCTCGGTGCCCTGCGGTCTCCCCTGGCCTGGCGCGGCCTCAGAGAGGCCCCCTCATGCTCCAGCGCCGTCTCCTGCCCTCGCCTGGCCCCTGCCTGCCTCCCAGGTGGGGTGTCACCGCGCCCCCCTCCCCCCCATGCCACACGGTGACTCCAGAGCCTCCTATGAAGCGTCCAGAATCCTCAGATCCCTCCAGACAGAACGCGGTGCCGGCTGCTGGGCGGTGGCGGGCGGGCGGGTAGGGACGGGCGTGGGGTTTCTCTCTGAGACGATGAAGATGTGCTCTGCTGCCTCTGGGGCGGGCGACACGTGCACTACACGCTCACACCGCACACGACGAGCCCTGCATTGCCCGGTTTGATGGGCGAATTGCTCGGTGTGTGACTGACAGTACAGCTGCTATGGAGTAAAATGAGTGAGGGTTTTGTACACCCTCCCAGCGCTCACACTCCTGTGCAATCGATGCTTAGAGGCCCGGCCTCACACAGCTGGTTCCCTCACATCCGACGTGACCGGATCGCGTCTGACCAGTCCCGGTGGATGAGGCCTAACAGGAGAACTTCCCGGAGAACAAAAGGGCAAACGCTAACCCTAATGTGCTGAGGTCCCAGTGACCAAGAAAGAAAAGGTGACGCCCGGCCGGCCTGGCTCAGGGGCTGAGCATCCACCGAGGAACCAGCAGGTCACGGCTCGACTCCCGGTCAGGGCACAGGCTGGGTCCCCAGTGTGGGGCGTGCGGGAGGCAGCCGGTCAGTCATTCTCTCTCATCACTGATGTTTCTTTCTTTTTTAATTTTTTTTTTTTTATTGATTTCAGAGAGGAAGGGAGAGGGAGAGAGAAATAGAAACATCAGTAAGAGAGAGAATCATTGATCAGCTGCCTCCTGCACGCCCCCCACTGGGGATCAAGCCCGCAACCCAGGCACATGCCCTTGACCGGAATCGAACCCGGGACCCTTCAGTCTGCAGGCTGACGCTCTATTACTGAGCCAAACCAGCCAGGGCTGAGGTTTCTTTTTAACAGCTGAACATTGTAATTGTCTTGGGTGCTATATCTCAGAGGAGCACAGGACAGGAATTTTGTTCCAACCAGAGTCCGGGTCTCACTTTGAGGGAAAGTACCCAATAGCTATGAGAAGAAAGAAAGCGCACAGGGGACACACTAACCCAGCTATGCGACTCTGAGCAAGTCCTGTCCCCCTTCTGAACCCCACCTCCTCCTCTAGCCACCAAGAATTTGGGCCCAACACTTTGTAGGAATTTGTTGAATCTTTGGAGATAGACTCAGTTTCCCGCCATGAGCTTTGTCTAGAGTGGAGCTATTACTTTTCCCCTGTAAAGGTCTCTTGAAATACAAGAACATCATTTAAAAGTGAGATCTTGCTGTGGATGGATATGTTCCAGTATTAGATGAAAAGGGGAATAAAACCACATCCATTTAGAATCTGACAGAGGACCAGGGAGGAGAAAGCCCTCTTGGTCTAATGACAGGACTAAATCGGGTTCTGTTTCAAGTTGCCATTGAATTTCTGAGTTCTTTAGAAGGAAGTAAAACAACATCAAAAGAGAATGATGTGTATGACGGATTAATTTCCAGAGCATTCACAGGTGCCATTTATGTAGCAAATCTTCCTTCCTGACTTGTTTTCAATTTTCAGTGGAGGGTTATGTTAAAGCAAATAGAGGAACCTGGTTTTTGAGCCTCAAGAACCTCAACAAGGGGTCCTAGATGAATGTGGCAGAAAAAAAAGGTGAGTGAAACCCTCAGCTTTAAGCCCTAAAAAAAAAGAGAGGAGAAGAGTGCAGATTGGTTTGGCTCAGTGGATAGAGCTTCGGCCGAGGGATTGAAGAAGGGCCTGAGGTTCAAATGCAGCCAAGCGGGGGAGGGGGGGGGGGGGCGGGGGGGGATTTTTGCCTTTTCCTCCCTCCCTCCTCCCCAGAGGCAAGGGGGGAGGAGGGGGAGCGCCGCTGGGGAGGAGGGAGGGAGGGAGGTGCTGCCCTGAAATCAGTAAGAGTATTTTTTTAAAGAAAGGGGGACTGCATTGACGGTTTTGAACCTGCCGACGGACGTTGAGACGCGGAAGCAAGGGCCGTGGAGATGGCCGCGCCCCGTTCACCTGGGAAAATGTTGAGTCTGACGTGGGTCCATTTCTGCTGGGAATTAACCAGGAAGTAGTTGTGGCCGGAAGCAGGCTTCCCCAGTCTCAGCTCTGTCCTGGGAACCAAGTAGTCCCAGTCGCCGGACTGCAGCTGTGGGAGACGGGCAGCGTTAGCCGGGGTGCCGGGAGCGGGTCCCTCCCAGGGCTGGGGGGGGGGGGTCTCTATGATGGAGGCTCGTGAGCTCTTTAATAAAAATAGTAACGGAGGTCAGGGCCGGGGTGATGGACACCCAAACACAGCCCCGGGGCGGCGGCTGGGCAGGGAGGGTGGGGATGAAGGCCCAGGCCTGAGCCCCCCATGCCTTCCCTAGAGCAGTGGTTCTCCACCTTGGGTGTCCATACAAAACCCCTCGGAATCTTTTTGATATCATGAGTCCCTGCCCCCTCTTTTTGGAATTTTTTTCGAAATTAGGAGCGGAAAACATGGGGGTTTAACACACGGAGCGTGTGCTCCCTAGATCCGAGCGTTTGGGAGGGGCAACTGGTTCCAGTTGCTACCATAGACTCTCAGGCTAGATCAGGGATGCAGAGATATCCAGATTCATCATTTCAGATGGTAATATTACGCATGTCTCTTGGGCGCCTCTTTAAATTGACTGAATGTGTAGCTCGCGCTCAATTCGTACACTGATTATAGCTGTGATCACTTGGTTCTCTAACTTTCCTTTCCGCACTAACTCCCATTGCAACCTTTTAGGACATGCTTGCAGATTGACTAACAAATGTCCGCACAGGAACACAATCTTGGGATCTCTCTGCACCAGATTATCTAAAGGTCAAAATAAGCC